GGAGGAGGAGGAGGAGGAAGAGGAGGAGGAGAAGGGGGAGGCAGAGGATGAGGATGAGGATGAGAAGGAGGAGGAGGACGAGGAGGAGGAGGAGGAGGAGATGGAGGAGGGTAGAGGTGGGATGAAGCGGATGAGGAGGAGGAGGAGGACAGAAGGGGGGAGGAGGGAGGAGGGCAAGGAGAAGAAGGAGGAGGGGGAAGAAGAGGAGAAAGGGTAGAAGCAAGCTAGGTGCGTTCCGCCTCGTCGACATTCCTTCCCATGGCGCTGATGTTGCATTGCCCGCGGGCTCGTGTCGTGGTCGACCTGCGACTTTCACAGAAAACCATTTCGTGGTATGCGAAGTCGGACAAAAAAGTGAGCTGAATGCACAAAAGAGGAGGCGGCGAGTGAGCAGGAGGATGAGCGGGTGGGAAAGCATGAGGACGAACAGCAACAACAGGAACTAAAGCGCAAGATCAAGGAGAAAAAGATGGACCAGGGGAAGGCGGATGAGGGGAAATCAGGGGAGGCGACAACGATGAAGAAAGACTCGGATTCAGAACATTTGCCCGCGCTAAGGCGAGGCGAACAGAAACACCAGAAACTGGAGTGCCAGGAGCAGCAGGAACATGATGACCAGGGTGAGGCGGACGAGGGGGAATGAGGGGGGACCACCATGCGGCAAGACTCGGATCCGGAAAAGTGGCCCGTACTAGGGAGACAGCGCAATTCTGAACGATGGGAGCAACGTGCCGATCCGAAAATGAGGCCCACGCTCCAGCAGAACACCATTTTTTAACACCGAAACAATCATATTGAATAAGACCGTCAGGAGAAAAAACTTGTGACGTCTTGTGTGTTCAAACAAAGAAACACGCGGATGGGGCAGGAGGTCTTCTGGACAATGTCATGGGAGGAGAGGTATAAGTAGTCAAATGGCTTAGTTGTGGAAGGGGTAGGGAGGGAGGGGAAGCAACAGGCAAGCAGGAAAGAGGAGGCAGACCGAATACTTCGGATGCTGGGGATACGGAGAAGAAGGAGAAGAAGGAGGAGGAGAGGGGAGGGGCCCAAGTGAGAAGAGCGGGGGAGATAAAGCAGCGCTCGCGCCATGCCTGGCATCCTGTCTGTTCCCACATCCGACCATGCCTGCCATAGCTGACGCCATTGAGACCCAGGAGGGGGGAGGGGGCGTGGGGGGGAGATGCAGGCCCGGGAGGAGGGGGTCGGAGGAGGGGGGGGAGCTGACGCCATGGCTGACGCCATTCGAAACTGGGAGGGAGGAGGGGGGGGGAGCTCGCTCAAGCTTCGCTCTGTCGGGGGGGGGGGGGCGGCTGGCGCCATAGCTGACGCTATTCAGGCCCAGGAGGGGGGAGGGGGAGGGTGACGCCATGGCTGACGCCATTCAGGCCCGCGAGGGAGGAGTCGGGGAGCGGGGGGGGAGGTCTGACGCCATGGCTGACGCCATTCAGGCCCGGGAGGGGGGAGGGGCGGGGGAGCTCGCTCAAGCTTCACTCTGTCGGGGGGGGGGAGGCTAACGCCATGGCTGACGCCATTCAGGCACGGGAAGAGGAGAGGGATGGGGAGGGCCGACGCCATGGCTGACGCCATTCACGCCCGGGACGGGGGGGCGGGGGCTGACGCCATGGCTGACGCCAGTCAGGCCAAGAAGGTGGGAGGGGACATCCCATGAGTTTGGCTGTCCACGCGAGATCGTCACTTTCGAGTATCCGAAGGTTGCCCAAGCGAGTTCTACATCTCTATCTTATGAGGATGTCTCGAGCGAATGCTCTACTTTGAAACATAAACGGTCCTCCGTTGCAAGCAGAATCGGTAGCAACCCGGATCGGCGGCACTGGCCGGAGCTCCGTACAGTGGAGGAGCTCCGTACAGTGGAGGGGGTGGCGGATGAGCAAGGGAGATCAGCAGGAAGGAAGGGAGGGTGATGAGGACGGACACCAGCTGCTGCAACAGGAATGGGAAGAGCGGGAGGAACAGGATGACCAGGGGAAGGCGGAGGAGGGAGAAGGAGGGGGCGACAACGATGAAGACACACTCGGATGCACGAGATTTGTGGCCCGCGCTGGGGCGAGAACGGCATCTTGTTTCAACGACGGGTGCGAAGCAGTGGCTCTAAAATGAGGCCAACGTTGCAGCAGCAGCACCCCGTCGAAACACCGAAGCCGGCCCGATGCGACACGCGCGCGGCATTCACAGAGGTCTCGACATGCGGCCGCGGGGGCGGCAGCCGCCCTGCCCGGGAGTCGAAGCCCTGCGGCCCAGCCGCCGAGCGGGGCCCCGAGGTCGCCCCTCGGCCCAAGCCGCCGAGTAGCGCCCTCGCCCCCCCCCGCGGGGGCCAAAGGCATGGCGGCAGAGCCATTGCCCCGCCCGGGGACGCCCTCCCCCTGCACCCTCCAACTCCCAAGCGACCTGCTGCTCCTGGTCGAACGGCTCGCCGTAATGTGCCTCCCAACGCACCTTCTCGTTCGACATCATCGCGGACCATGGGCTGCCCCCAGGCGCGACGAGCCCGCCTGGAAGCCACGAACAAGGAGCTGGCTCGCTCGAGCCCAGACCATCACCGCCCCCTTCCGCACTGGGAGCTTGGCCGGTCTGCTTGAGCCAGTGGAGCTGCTCTGCTGCTGAAAACTCCTCATCACCATTCGGCCTTGGGTTCGGACATCGGGCTGGCGCTCGGCCCCGCAGCAGCCGCAGCCCGTGGGGCCTCCGCGGCAGCCGCCTGGGCCTGAATTCACGCCGCTGCCCCGCGCTTGCGCGCTGACTCCTTGACCTGCCCCAGCACCTTGTCGAGGAAAGACGCATCCACCGAGAGGCAGTCAAGCCGCTTGACCAGCGCCTCCACGGACACAGTCCCGCCCCGCAGCGCGCTGCGAAGCCCGTCGCGTCAGCGCAAGCATCACGAAACAAGGGAACCCGGCCCGGCGCCTCGGCCTGCACTTCCCGAGCTCCACGAGGGCCGCTTCCTTCTGGACGATGGTTGAGCGCAGGCTGGCTGCCTTGTCTGCCAACTCCAGCGCCTGGCACTCGGCCTCCCCGAGCTCGTTCCGCGCCTTCTCGAGCTGCTCTGCTCCTTCTTCCTGCTCCTGGATCCTCTCCTTCCACGACTGAACCTGCGCCAGGTACGGGCTTCGCCTGGAAGCGGGGCTTGCGCAGCGTGGCCTGCTCCTCCAACAGCTGCGTGTGCTTGTCGCTGCAGGGCGCGTCTGGCTCGTCGAAGGGCTGCAGGGTCGTCAGCTGCTTGTCCACCACCGCCATCGCGTCGCTGCCGTCGGCGCCAGCGCCTCCAGCTCGCTTTGACGGCCCACTCGCAGCCGGCTTGCCCGCGACCGTCGCCGCTTTGGGCAGGTTACACCGCTTGCGCTGGAGTGTGTCGGCGAAGCCGAATTCCCTGAAACCGCTTGTCGTCGAGCTTGCTGCAGGCCCTGCAGCACGAGGAGGTCCTCGACCCGGCTCTGGCACCCACTCCACCGAGGCTGCGAGGGCCGACCAGTTTCTCCCTCTTGCCGCCGTCCTTGTCGCCGCCTGCTCCCTCGCAGCCGCCGCCGCTGGACCCAGCCGCCAGTGCTGCCGCCCTACGTCGGGCGCCCGTGCAGACAATCTGCCGAACCCGGCCACTAGGCTGGCAAGCCATCACAACTCGTTAACAGCTTGGCCCAAAGCGACAACCCTCGAGCTCAGGTGACGCCCGCGAGGGGCTCGCGGTCGTCGGGTGTCTCTTGGCCTTGAGCCAACATGGCTACGCACTCTCTCGCCCTCTCTCTCTCTCTCTATCTCCCCCCCCCCACCCCCCCCCCCCCCGAGCCCACCGCCCTCTGTCTCATTCCCTCCGCCCCCGCCCTTCCCCTCCTTCCCCTTCCCCCCTCTCTCTCTTTCCTGCCCCTCCTCCCTGCCTCATCGCCCCACCCTTGCCCACACTTCCCCTCCATTTCCCATTTCCCGTCCTCCCCCCCCCCACCCACTGCCCGCTCCACACCTACTTCCTTCCGCTCCCTCCCTCCCTCCTCCCCACTCGGAAGGGTTATACCTTGATGGAGTCCGCCGACCCTGTCGGCGTGTGTAAGACGCTGTTCTGTTTGACTCGACGTCGTCGTCGTCGTCGTCGTCGACGTCGTCGACGTCGTCGTCATCGTCGACGTCGTCGTCGTCGCTATCGCCGTCGAGTTTGAAACCCCTTTGCCTGGGCCCGTCGCCGCCCCCCCCCCTTTGACTGGGCCCTCGTCCTCAAGCGAATCACCCAAAGCGAAACCAAAGCGAAATTGAGCAACGTCGTAACGTTGATCGAATGGAAGCCCTGTCCCTTTGATCCCTTCCCCCCTCCTGGGGGGTGGTGTCCGGGGGGGGGTTGGTCTCAGGGGGGTGTCCTGGGGGGGGGTCCTGTCCCCAGGGGGTCCTGTGCGGCCCCGAATCGCCCAACACTCGGTCCAAGACGCCAAAGATGGGCCTACTGACAGCCCAAGCGGCCTCCAAGACGCTCGAAGAGGCCTCCAAGAGCACACCAAGAGGGCCCCAACAGGCAAAATCCAATGACTTCCTGTAAGCACTTGGGAAAGTATGGCGTTCTCGCCTTTTCGGCGTCGCGACGCCCCAAGACGGCCCAATATGCCACCAAGATCGGCACAAGAGGCCCCCAAGAGGTGTCCAAGAAAGACCCGAAACGACCCAAGAGGGCCCCAATACGGACCTGGAGGCCTCCCAGACGGCCCAAGAGGCCCCCAAAACGGCTCTAAGAGGGTGCTCACACGGGAGCCCGAACGAACATCTCGAGCCCTTGGCCCCGAGAAGCTCCCAGGAGGCCCCAAGAGGCCCCCAAGAGGCCCCACGAGGCCCCAAGAGGCCCCCAAGAGGCACACAGGAAGATCGCAGGGACACCCAAGAGGCTCCGAAGAGGCCCCAAAGCTGCCCCCCCAGAGGCCACGAGCGACATCCGAAGAGGCCCCACGAAGCATCCCTGAGGATTCTGCCACACGTCAGTGTCGTCGTCGCCGCCGACGTCGCCGTCGTGGTCGTCGGCCCCCTTCAGGGTCGGCGGCGCTGGCTGTAAGGCCTTCCCAAATATCTCGAGGCCTGTGGCCCAACGTTCGTAGTAAAGCCGAACTGGCCAGCAGGAAACAAAGGGGTTTCAGCTTATCCAAGCTGTAACCTTGAGGTCGGGCATGTCCTCCTACAGGTAGATCTTGGACGACAAATTAAAAGTCGTCCAAGCATTCTTTAAATCAAAAAGAATCAAACACAAATAACAACATCGTCCCCAGACTATTTCTTGACTATTTTTGAATCTGCCTCCTGTAGAGGGACCAAACCGACTTACCTGTAACCAACACTGTCGCCATACCCGAACTCCCGAACACCCCCTCCACCCCTAGCCCCTCCCCTTGCCATTGATCCCCCCGCTCGCGATTCCGCTCCTCCCTTCGTTCTCCTCTCGGTGGGGGGGGGGCGCGCGGGGCGTCGAGAGGCGGCGGCTCTGACACCCCGGGTGTCCGGGCGGACTCCGAACTTCTCGACGTCGACCACTACGCGCATCATGTCCTCCAGCATCGCCTTGACGAGGCCCTCTGTGGTCGACGTCGAGTACGACAGGTCCGGGGACGAGTTCACCTCGATGAGCCACACGCCGAGGTCGTCGTCGACCATGAAGTCGTAGCCGAAGAGCTCGAACGAGTTCGTGCGGGGCTGAACGACATCCTGAGCGCACTGCATAGTTGTCATAACCACCCTCTTCATCGCAGGCTGTACCACCTCAGCCCACGGGTCCTCGACGGGATGGCCGTCCTTGGAGAACCCGATTGTCTTCAAGAACTCGCAGAACTCGTCCGAGTGCCACATCGTCTCGTCAACCCTATCGTCGAAGCCCTTGGCCTTCTTCGATATGGAATTGTTGGTCAGGTGTGCGTACTTGTTCTTTATCTTGCTCGGGTCGTAATCGCTGAACGAAAAGCGGAGGTAGCAATCGTTGTAGAACCACACGGCCAACGGTTGCCACCTGGCCGGCTCCGAAAACCCTGGGCGCGCTGGAATACATCTCTCACAAAGACTGCCTGGCGTGACCTCGGCCGATTTGGACGACCAGGACGGATGCGGAAAAACAAAAATACGATGCCCAACAACAAATGTTGCCCAAAACCGACAGCGGCTGCTGTTCGACAGGCGGCCCTCTGTCTCGAATGGACAACGTCCGCGACGACACTGACAGCGAGTCCTGCTCAAAACGGACCGGACATGCTGTCGGCCTTTGTATCCTGTTGTTCCATGCCCATTTCGACCGTCCCGAGCCGACCTTGCTTCGGCTACCGCTGGCGACGGCACCTACACAATCACTGTCGCCGGCCTCTGCCGAGGATGGGAGAGGTCAACTCTCCATCCTCTGCCGAGGATGGGGAGGTCCTTTCTGGAGCGCCCTGCCAAGACCTCCGACTGGCTTGTCGTGCTGTTACACTATGCTTATTGTATTCTTCAAAGGCGCCCCTCCCCCCTCACCGAAACACTCGCTGGCAAGCGTTCGTTAGCCTGCTGTTCGACATGTGGCCGAAATGTGGGGGAAAGGCGGGGGTCTGGGTCTGGGCCGATGCTTAGCCTATCTGCTTCTACCACTCGCGTAAGCAGACGGGGGTGGTGGTGGTCGTGATGCAGCCGCCACAAGCGGCCAAGATCTGGTCTGTGGGGGGGGGGGAAGGGGAGGGGTTGGGCCAGGGACCCGCGCCGATCGGCGAAACACTAAATAGAGCACAGCGAACTTTCCCTTCCCCGGGCCAGTTGTTCCATCCTGATTGGTTTTCTAGCGGTCGCAGGGCCAGGGAACGGCACTGGGAGGCCGGCAGTCGGCGATGCATCTCCGTCTGGATCTCGCAGACCGCGGGAGGTCCAGGCCCAGGGGTAAGACATTCGACCGCCGCACCTGTATCCATGAGTGGGTCAAGAGCAGACCTCCAACAGGAAACACCAAAACAAGTCAAAACAGCTTGGACAGGGGCCCACAAGAGCATCCAAGAACCTCGTCACCACGACCCACTGGCGGACTCGAGCTCCTCACTGGTGGCCCGCTGCCCGCCCCGCCATCGCGGCTGGCTCGCAGACTGGGAGGCCTGTTGGTGGCCTTCTGGGCTCTCCTGGGGGGGGGGGCATCTCGGGTTCTTTGTCAGGAAGCTCTGGGCGGCTTCTCGCAGCGATCTGCCCGAGCACCTCGTCACGACGACCCACTGGCGGATGTCGAACTTCTTTCCGCGCACGATCAGCGGGTTCTCAATGTACTTCTGTGCCATCCACCGGGCCTCCGCCCCACGCCCGACGCCAACCTCGGGGGCGCGCGCACGAAGATGGCGCGATCGAGAGCCAGTCAGACCAGGAGCATGGTCTTGCCCCTCCGGCTCCACCTCCCCCTTGTCCCCCTCCTCCTCCTCCTCTTCATCATGGCTCTTCGACCTCCTTCTCCTCCTTCTCCTGCCCCCTTCTCCCTCCCCCCGCTGCCCCGTCCAATTCCTCCTTCTTCTCTTCATCCCTGTCCTCCTACCATTCTTCCCTACTCCCTCTCCTTTCCCATCGTTCTGATCACTCTTCTCGTCGTCCTCCTCTACCTCATCCTTCACCTCCCCCCACCCCCCTCCTCCTCCCACTCGCCGAGGTGGTAGCTGTTCTTGCGTGCCTTATCGCAAGTCCCTGGGCGACATCGCGCAAAACTCTCGAACCGAACAGAGATCGTACTCTTCGGCCCGTCTCCTCCTCCTCGTCCTCCCCCTTCCCCCCCTCCCCGTCCTCCCTCTCCCCCTCTTCATCATCCTCCCCCCCCCCTTGTACCCCTTGTCCTGTTCCCTCTCCGCATGCCCATCCTCTTCACCTCTCCGCATCCCCCTCTTACATCGTGAACGTAGAGGAAGAACATTATCCAATGATAAACGTTCGCAATGCACAGCGATGTACTGCACACTTAAGAGACACCTAGAAACAATATCAAGAACATACTTACCTAAATAACGCAATGAGCAGACATCAAGAACACGAACCGATATCATGCATCCATATTTGACAGGCATGACACGCACAAACATACCAACGATCACTCGTAGGCATCGGTTAAGTACACCAAGGCCATACACAAATAACCACCAGAAAACTACACATCAACATCCGCCCGACACCCAGAACGTACAACTTGTAAGCTAAAACCGCCACCAAGAACATGTACATATACCATACGTCTGTATGGAATACGAAAGGCCCATGCGGCATGTTACTCTTATACGCCGAACACACACTGCATGGCCAGGCAGCAAGGACATCAATCCACCATGAACGCCAAATGGTAGGCACCAAGAACAAGCATCAATAAGAGACAACAAGACCACACATCAAGAAAGTACACCGCCACTACGACACCCTTGAGGCAGAGGACCCTGGACAGCTTTACACAGTCCACGGTGAGGGCAACGATGAGGGGGGAATGGGCAGCGACGATGGAGGACCACGATTGGGGGCCTGAGGAACCACGATCGGGGGGCACGACGTGCCTTCGAGTCCGTGGGCCTCGCAATCCACCTGTGAGCCATGAGAAATCATATATATATATATATATATAAATAATCATCACAGGCAAGGCGTTCAGGGAAGGCACCAAACATAGACACCAAGAACATGCACCAACAACATACGCCAACAAGCTACATCCAGCATCATCAAGGACAAATTCCAATAACAAGGCTGCACCGATTACATCAGTCCTTGACACACATCAACGACACTCACTGGGGCCATACAACAACTTCTTTGCTTCGAGCGATCCCCACCGAGGAGTTCCAGAAACATGCATGATCTTACTGTTGCGCATCCCCGATGGCTATTCTTGGGGTAGTCTGGTGATGTCCGTTCTTGGTGACTGATCGTGGTGTATGTGCCTGGCGTCTCCTCTTCCTCACTGTTCCTGGTGCTCGCTATTGGTGTATGGTTTCAGTGTGCAGTGCTGATGTCTCTTAATGGGCACCTGCTGCCGATGTTCAAGAGCTATTTGCGTAGGATGTTGGTGACTGGGTGTGCTGTGTAGTGCTGATGTGGCTTAGTGGTGCACGTTCTGTATGTAAAGTATGACTGGTTGTAGCGGGTGTCTCTGACTGATGAATGTTATTGGTGTGTGTGTGTGTGCTATCGATGCCTGTTCATGGCGCCTGTTATTTGAGATTGTCATGTGCAGGTGTTCTTGGCGTGCGGTCTGGATGTATGACGTCGGTGTGCGTTATTAATGTCTGGCCTGGGGCTCTGTTAATGGATGTTTGCTATTGGTGTATGTTGTGGCACTGGGGTATCGCTGTCTGTCATTGTTGCACGTGCTTGGGGCATGTTCTTGGTTCGTGTACTCGATGTATGCTGTTGCTGCATCTTGCTGATTCCGCTAGTGCTACGTACCACTGATGTCTGTTATCGGTGTACGGTTATTTGTGGTGCCTGTTCGCAGTGTTTGTCATTGATGCAGGAAGTCTGGACTTGGTGTGTAATGTGGGTGTATGTTCTTGCTGCGTGTGCTTGAAGGCTGTACTTCGTGCACGTTCCTGGCCTAAGGTTACGATGTATGGTTTTCTTGCAAGTTCAGAATTAATGTGCTCTCTGTCTGGTCTAAACGTCTGTGGATGGCGTGACGTCGTTACGTCTGGACGGCGTGACGCCTACCTAGTTCGGAATGCATGGTGGGCAAGGCCGGACACACAAACACCACACGGATTCTTGGGGCCTGGCGGCCGCGGCACGCAAAGCGGGCGAGGCGGGACACCCAGTGACCGGCCAGATCCTTGGGGCCTCGCGGCCGCGGCATGCAGGGCTGGCAGATGCGGTCGAACCTAAGACAGAAGAACATCCTTCAAGAGCACGAGACCCTCCGCTGGCCAGAACACACAGGACATTCGAGGGTGCCCTCCACAGGGTGCACAAGAACATCCCGCATACACGAGGACCATGAGGGCACCCGCCCCGAACCAACCTCGATCTTCTACCTCGGCCCGACCGCATCTAGGCCATCAAATAATACATCCATTTGATTGCTCCATCTGCGCTGCCGGGCGCCTCTCGACCCAAAACCCCGACGTCATGATTTTTTCTTGACGCGGACCCCCAGCGGTCTGGACCCATTCCCCAGGACCGGTTCTTCATCCTGAGTCGTTTCTTGACGGTCCCGAGGCCGGGCAAGGGCCCCCGGAGGCCGAAAATAGCGAAAAACCTCCCGTCGCGATTTTGTCATCACTCGAGGGGATCTGGGGACAGAGCGCGATGCCACTGCACGCAGGCCTGACGGAACTGGAGCCAGCGTGGCTCCTCCGGCCCAGTCCGGCTCGCGGCGACGCCAGCGAAGCACGAGCGCGGAGCGGCGCGCACGGCCTCAGGCACAGGGCAAAGAGGGAAGGGTCCTTCCGCCTTCCCGCTCCTGGCCTCTACATCCCGGCTTACCCGGCCCGCTCACAGTGTCAGGAGGCTGCTCCTGGGAAGTCTTCGTTGGAACTCTGAAGGGCGAGTGATACCCATTGGAGGGCCGCTTCGCCGGACTGGGCTAGATTAAGCCCGGGACTGAGCCAGATTAGGCCGGAGTAAACCATAGTAAGCCAAACTAAGCCCAGAGTACGCCGGGCATCGACCGCCGCAACAGAATTCAACCTCCCAGGAGTTGCATCCCAATCAACGGCGTCATTTGCCGCCCTTGTTGCCCTCGAACTTGGAGTCTGGGGCGATCGAAACCGTCAGACCCAGCTGCTGCAGGTTGACGCAAAACTGTTCCGCGAGGGCTTTCCAAACGCACGCCACGGTCGCCTTCCCGGAGCTGTGGGCCTCCCACGTGATGTTGTAGGCCTTGCGCCGACTCAGGTGCTTGACGGTTCTGGTCAGGGACCCGGTGACGTACTCGAACGTGTGGATGTCGTCGTTGTGCAGGAGCACCCGCCACCACTTCTCCTTGTCGAACTCCTCCTTCATCTTCGCCTTCAGGTCGTTCTTCTCCATGATGGCTATGCCTTGGGCGCCCGAGTTGTCCTGGGTAGCTCGGGCCCGGGGCAACTCGGGTTCGGCATCCCGCAGAACGCACCCGAGTGAGCCCCGACCCGAGCTGCCCCTGATGCTTCGGGGCCCTGCGTGCCCGCGTCTGGAAGCTGCGGCTGCATGGAGCCCTCGGCTCTCCTGAGGGGGCAAAGCGCAAGAGGGGAGGGGCGGCTCAGGAGAGGAGGAGGAAGAGGAGGAGGAGGAGGAGGAGGAGGAGGAGGAGGAGGAGGAGGAAGAGAGGTGGAGGAGGAGGAGGAGGAGGAGGAGGAGGAGGAGGAGGCGGAGAGAGGAGGAGGAGGGAGAGAGAGAGGAGGTAGGGGGGAGGAGAGGAGGATACTGTGCAGAACACAGGGGGGGGGGGGGGGAAGCGCCGACATCGGCTGCGAGCCCCCGAGGGCGCGTCCGCGCGTCACTGGGCGGGCCCGGCTGTCAGACTCGGGCCCCTGCCGGCGATCCATGGGCGACGGGGGATCGATGAGAGGCCTCACCGAGTGGGTCCGAGCAGATGGGGCCAGGGGATCACGCCGCATCGCTGATGCATCGCCGAACATGGGCGACGCATCGGCGACGGCGGCGATGCATCTGCGACGCCAGTGTGGAAGAAATGTGACCCTGCCTCGCGCCGCATCGCCGATGCATCAACAATGCGGCGCGATCTTCCGGCCCCCCTCGCTCGGACCCCGCTGAGCTCGTCACCCCCGAACGGGGGGGCCCTCTGCTCTCGGGCCACCACTCGGGCCTCCGGTGGCCGTTTCGGGAAGACTCTGGCACCCCCGGAGTGCTCTCGAGGAGGCGCAGCTGCTGGAAGGCACCCCGAGGCTTGGAAAGCCGCCGAGAACGGACGAACAGTGCCGAAACCACCATCGAACCTCGAGATTTAAACTTCGTCCCCCTGCGTCGATCCCAGCCCCTCCAGCCCTGCCCCTTCGACTACACGCAAGGGTGAGGCTAGGCAGGAGGGGCCTGTGGTGCGCGGACCGAGGTGACGCAGGGTGGCCAGAACCAAGCACGCAGCCGGCCGCTGTCGCATCGCGCCCAACGATCAAGGGGACCCCGATAAGCCCGCACCAAAAGGTCACTCTGGCTCTTGCGTGTAACCGACCCCTGCCCTCCTCTAGAGGCCTCCATGGGATCCGAGTCGATGGGGTCGGAGGATCTCACTGCATCGCCGATACATCATCGCCGATACAACGCCGATGCATCGGCGATGCATCGGCCATGCAACGGCGACGTCAGCGATGCATCGGCGACGTCGGCGTGGAGAAAATTGGGCCCCACATCGAGCCGCATCACCGACGCATTGCCGCTGCATCGGCGATGCGGCGCGATCCTCCGACCCCATCTTTGAGCAGGGACCGGCCGTCCCGGCATTCCTTTAGGCCTACCACGAAATATTCTTAGAACCCAAAATGTTCGAAGAACGAAAACAATTTTCTTAGAACGCAAGCCCGACGTGCTAAAATTAGCCTGGCGAAAGACCCAACCATATGCAGTTGTGAGTACGGCGCTCCCTATGGGGCCACGAAGCGCTGTACTGGGTGGGTGAAACGCATGGAACAAAGGCCGTGTTGGGAGGTGGCAGACGCATGCGGGCGGGACCTTCGGTGGAGCTCCCTATGGGGCCGCGAAACGCTGTACTGGGTGGGTAAAACGCAGGGAGCAAGGGCTGTGCTGGGGCGGTGTCACTGGGACCTTCGGTGGAGCCCCCTCATGGGGCCACGAAACGCTGTACTGGGTGGGTGAAACGCAGGGAGCAAGGGCTGTGCTGGGTGGTGGCAGACGCATGCGGGCGGTGCCACCGGGACCTTCGGTGGAGCCCCCTAATTATGGGGCCACGAAGCGCTGTGCTGGGCGGGTGAAAACGCATGGAAGAGGGAGGAGGCAGGAGGAGGGGGAAGAGGGGGAGAGGAACGCCGGGACCGTCTCTTCAAAACGAGGACCCAACACAACAGGATGGTTGGGAGTAATAAGACAGTCCCAGCCAGAAATGTTCTAAGAACATTTCGTGCAAACCACAGAAGGTTCCTATAGAACATTCTTTGGTGGGCCTACAGGCATGCCGGGACGCTTCGCCACTGCTTGACATCTACTCCGACCCCATCTAGGAGGCCCAGATCCTCGCGGTCGTCCGCTGCGCCGCCGCGCGGCGGCCTCGCCGCGCCCGGCCCAGAGCCAGCGCGGCCGCCAGCCCGGACGCGGCAAGGGCCAGCGCCGGCGCCGCGCGCGCGCCGGCGGGCCGCCCCTGCGGGGGGGACGAGGCGCATCCTGGCGCAAGGGCCCAGGCACGTCATGCCGCAGGCGTGAGTGCCGCAGCTGTGCTTCGGCGGCGGGCGAGGGGGGGGGGGGGGGGGGGGGGGGGCAGACGACGAGGAGAATGGGCCTTCTCAGAAGGCGGCGGGGCTCCTCGGAAGCCCTCGGGCCTGCTGGGAGGCTGTCCGCGCCTGCGGGGGAAGCTCGGAAAACTTCCCGGGGCTTCCGAGCCGTCCGCGAGGCGGCCCGCCCCCTCTCACTTCCACCCCCCCCGGGCGCTCCGCCGCACCCACCGGGGGCCACGAGGCGCGCAAGGGGCATGCCACTAATAGGGGGGGCGGGGGCCGCCCGCGCGCCGCCGTCCTGGGGCCTTCGGCGGAGCTCCCTTTTGGGGGGCCGCGAGAGGAGGAGGAGGAGGAGGAGGAGGAGGAGGAGGAGGAAAAGGAGGAGGAGGAGGAGGAGGAGGAGGAGGAGGAGGAGGAGGAAGAGAAGGAGGAGGGGGAGGAGGAGGAGGAGGAGGAGGGGGAGGAGGAGGAGAGATCGGGCGGCTCTGGAACGTGTCTCGGGCGCCGCGGCCTTCCCAGAGCGTGCTGGAAGGCTCCGAGAGCGTTGAAGACCCTGGAACAGGGGCGTGCCGAGACGGGGGGATCGGCATGCGGACCTCGCCACCGGGGGCTCCCACGTGGGACCACGGAGCGCGCCAGGGGCGTGCCGAAGATGGCATGACGCCCACATGCGATACGTGTTGTTTTTACGTGTTGCTTTTTGTTTCTCACGTTTACGTGTTGTTTTAACGTGTTGTTTGTTTCTCACGGTTAAGAACTGCCGTTGCGAACGTCGACATCAATCATGGGGGCCTTCTGTGGAGCTCCCTATGGGGCCACGAAGCGCGGGAGGGGTGTGCCGAAACGGGAGCGACGCCCACTGCGAACGTTGCCACTGGAGCCTCAGGTGGAGCTCCTATGGGACCACGAAGCGCGTGGTGTGTGTGTGTGTGTGCCGAATAGGGCGTGACGCCTACATGCGAACATCGCCACGGGGACTTCAGGTGCGTCGCCACGAGGACATCAGGTGGAGCTCCCTATGGGGCCACGAAGCGTGTGAGGAGTGTTGCGAAACAGAGGCATAGGAAAGGATGGGAGGAGGGATGAGGAGGAGAAGGAGAGAATATAACGCAGGGCGCTGTCTCGTCAATGTGAGGACCCAACGCCACAAGATCGTTGGGACAAATACCGATCTTAGCTGCCCCGATGCGCAACACGCAACCCTCAACGTGTTGACACGGAATTCAACACGTGGATTGAAACGTAGGTCTTGCTCGGCACGTTCGCCAAAACGTGGGCCACCACGTGCTGAGCCAACATGCAGCGTGTCAACACGGACGTTTTGAACAGGCAACGTGCTGCGTTTCAAAACGGGTGTATCAGGGCAGCTCGGACACCGATACTTCTACCTCTTTTCTCGGCCCAGTCACGGTGTGCACAGGCAAGTATGAAGCTCCCCTTCTGCTGTGCACGCTTACAGATGCTTCTACATTTTTCCTCCCCTGGTTCACGGAGTGGATACACAGGCAAATATGCAGGTCCCCTCTGCTGCTCATGCTGTGCGCAAAGAAAGCACTCGAGCCTATTGGTTACGAATCCATGAGCGCACGCCGAAGCAACGCGTGTCTTGCAAACTGTCTGGCTCCCACCACCGCTACTACTCCCCGGAACTATCCCGCAAAATAGCGAAGAATGGCGACGAGATCCCCAGAGAGCCCCTTGCTTTCTGCGCCAATATTCGAAGCGGATCGGTACGTGATGGTCCAGCCCGTTGCGAAACACTTGCGACGCCAAAATGTCAGGGTACAGGTGGCGATTCTGCTAATGCACGGACCTCTCCTGGGGTGCGTTCTGACCAGAATTTCGAGAGTCAAGCCGTTGCGACGAGAACGCTCCAGGACGAGCGGTGGTATCGGTATCTCTCCAGACATGCGACGTCCTGATTGTTTAGATACGCGGCCGCCGACATCGCGAGTCCTTCCCCGGGATCGGCGATTCCTTCCGATCGAGTCGTCGGTTGACAGTCCCCGGGGCCCGGTACGGGCCCCCATGAGGCCGAAAACCACTCGGAAACGTGGTCCCAAGTTCTCTACGACGCCAGTGGAGTGGCGTGGGAGGTAGCTGGCCTGCGCGGACTGTGGCGCAAACTCTTGCGCGAACTCTTGCTGGGGGGCACGAACTATACTGCAAGGGGCGTGAATTATTGCATTCGGGAGAATACACGAGTGCATCCACGCGCCACTACCATGTCCAGATTGCAAACTTCTTCATCCACGCAACAACTACGGCAAATACTGCTGCACCGAATCACTCCGCCCCCCCATCTGTGCTACCCTCCACTACTACTCTGGCTTAGACCCTGCCATGGAGGAACCCAACGAAACCGATACCGCTACTCCCCGGACCTCTCACGGTGCGCGTTCGGACCAGAACCTCGAGGTACTCTTTCCTCCTTCTCCTCCTCGACTCCTCCTCCTCCCCAGACATCCGCCGATATTATTTGTTCAATCCGCAGCCCCAGAAATCCCGACCCCTTCCCAACGGGCGGTTTCTCGTCCCAGATACATGTTTGATGGTCTCGAGGGCCGATAACGGGCCCCCGAGGCCGAAATCAGATAGAAAAACCGCCGGATCCAAAGAATCTAATCTCTGGATCTGTGGGTCCTCCGACATCTGACCATGTGGAACATAGTTCCTTGTTTTTCGCGCCCAATCGCCCTGGCAGGAAACGCACGCAGCATTATGCATGGCAGTCGCCAGGACCCCTCCTCCCCCTACTCCCCTACGTCTCGTCATTAATTATGTTGCTGTCCGCGGTGTTTCGTCGATCCCGCGCCGAACACTGTTAGACGCACGCTTTTGCCCACGCGCCTGGTGGCGTATGGCTTGAGCAAGAACCGACCGTCCTGGCATTCGTATAGGCCTATGCCGGAATGCTCTTAGAACCAAAGAACGTTCATATACCAAGAAACCAATGCTCTCAGACCATAGAAAAGATGTACATATGCAAACAAGACAGCGTCAGCCAGAAATGTTCGGGGAACATGCCATGCAAAAAAGGCTCTCCAAACATTCTTCGGCGGGCCTGCACAGGCAAGCCAAGACCCCTTCGACACTGCTTGAATGGCTCCCCACCCCCCCGAAGTCATGATTTGTTCATGACGTCGACCCCCCAAAAGTCCCGACCCATTCCAAGGGACCGGTTTTTCCCCAATCAGTGTTTGCACTGAAGGGGTCCTAGCGGATATTGAAAGATTTGGCGAACATTTCCCGCCGATTTTGGTAATTAGCCGGCTGGGTTGCCGGGTTCCGGCTCCGGGTTCCCAAGTTCCTGGTTCTTGGTCTCGGGCCAAACCATGCACTGATTGGGTTTTTTCGCTGGGGCAATTCATCATGAGTCGTTTCTTCACGGTCCCGAGAGCCCTCGAGGGCTCCCCGAGGCCGAACATGGCGAAAAACTGGGCGTCCTGATTTTCTCACAACTCGAAGGGGTCTGGGCCGTTCGTCGAGCAGGGACCGCCTGTCCCGGCATATTCCTATAGGCCTACCACGATATTTTCTGAGAGCCCAATGTTCTAATAACAACAGCAGTGTTCTTAGAACCTACACCCGAAGTATTAAAACAAGACGGCCCCAGCCAGAAATAGTCTAAGAACAGTTCGTGCAAACCACAAAAAGGCTCCCAGAACTTTCTTCGGTAGGCCGATGGGCGAGCCAGGAGGCTTCGCCACTGCCTGACACACCTCCATCGGCTACACGCAGGAGTGACCCTGGGTAAAAGTGACCTTTGGTGCGCGGCTTTTGGGGGGCCGCGGGGGGAATCAAACCCGGGCGCGCAGGCCGCTGCCCCTGCTTTGTTTTTGCGGCCATCTGGGGACCCATCTGTGCCCGCACCAAAGGTCACTCCGGCGAAAGGTCACTCTTACGTCTAGTCGACTCCAAGCTCAGACCCCCGACGTCATGAATTTTTCATGACGTCGACCCCCAGAGGTCTGGACCCATTCCCTGGGACCAGTTTTTCGTCCTGAGTCGTTTTTTGACGGTCCCGAGGGCCGGCAAGGGCCCCCAGAGGTCAAAAATTATGAACAACTTCCCGTCGTGATTTTTCATAAGAGCCTTTTTTTGGTTTCAGGCAAGTTTACTTGCATGGCGTTCGCCCCCCCCCCCCCCCTCGCCCCTCTTCGAGCGAATACCAGCGTGCAAGTGCCTTTCGACCTGCGTGCTTTCCGCGCCCCCCCCGAACGTGCAAGTCGTGTGCGGCGTGCTTCAGGCTCAGCCCCCCCCCCGTCCATGCAAGCAAACTTGCCAGAGTCTAAAAAAAAACATGCTCCCAGTGGTCTGGACCCATTCCCCGGGACGAGTTTTTCGTCCCGAGTCGTTTTTTGACGGTCCCGAGGGCCGGCAAGGGCCCCCAGAGGTCAAAAATCATGAGAAACTTCCCGTCGCGATTTGTTCCTAACTCGAGGGGGTCTGGGAGGGGGTCTGGGTCCTTCGCCCGCTCCTCCTCCTCCTCGGCGCCTCCCGGCGCCGGAGGCGAACATGTATCCAGGAATGGGCCCCTCGGTGAGGCCGAAATCAGCTGCACGCAGCAAATTTCGCAACCCCCCCTTTTCCCAATCCCCCCTTTCGCCCGGCCCGAGTCTAGTCGACTCCAAGGGGGTCTGGGTCCTTCGCCCGTTCCTCATCCCACCTCCGCGGCCGGCCCCGCCGCCCGGGCCGCGCCGCCCCGGGCCGGCCGCTGCCCGCACGGGCGGGGGGCGGGCGGCGGCCCCGAGGGCGGGCCGCCCGCCGCGAAGGCCTCGGCGCCGCCAGCGGCGGCCGCGGCCGCGGAGGCCACCTGTGGGGAGCATGGCCTCCTGCTCCTCCTCCTCCTCCTCCTCCTCCTCATCCTCCTCCTCTCCTCTTCCTTTCCTCCTCTCGTCTCCTCCTCCTCCTCCTCCTCCCTCTC